GCTTTTAGGCAATCAGTGGGCCATTGACTTACTATGTGAGGGTAGGGCCGGTTATTTACACGAGGTCTAAGCCAAACCAGGCTTTTAGGCAATCAGTGGGCCATTGACTTACTATGTGAGGGTAGGGCCGGTTATTTACACGAGGTCTAAGCCAAACCAGGCTTTAAGGCAATCAGTGGGCCATTGACTTACAATGTGAGGGTAGATATGATTCAGTAAATGGCCTCCCACTGTTACATAAATAAAAGTTCAGATGAAAGACTCAGCCAAAATGAGGATTGTTTAGAACGCAAATTTGTCAAAGAACGGCCAAACTTTGATCAAATAGTGGGGCCGTAAAGTTTCCAACAAGCTAATTCATATGGTAAACTCCAGTGATCAAGGGGCAGGACACGTTCTAAATAACAACTCAAAGCAATCAATTTCGAACATTTTCCTCCTATTTTTTAAGTAAAAAGTACGGGAGCACGTTTTATCCACATCTATTCTGGAAAGAATGATCTTTTCACATTGACTGCTGAGTAAATATGTTGATTTTATTATTGGTCCTTTGCTGTCTTACTGGACTGATTAAGACAATCCATTGTTCATCTCCTGATACCAAAGGATAAAAATAAAATTTTCAGTTTCATGGAGTAAAATAGAAACGAGAGTTGGATGCTTTTGGGTTTCGCTAAAATTCGAAGGAAAATTCCTTTTTTCACACAACAAATCAATGGCGTCAGTCTTCATTGTTTTGCTACACAATAGTAACACTATGTTTGATCAGGTTTTGAGTGTAAAGATCATCTGTGGGACCTTTGCTTGTTCTACCTGCCAATAACCTCAAGAGAATTCTCGGCTCTTTGAATTATTCAAAACACCGCGTGTTGCTGCTTGCTGTTTTACTCTCTGACGTCACAACAGGTAATACGTCTTTGAAAACATCGCTTTGAAGAAAAATTTCTTCACAGTGAACTCCGACAAGGAAAGAAATCTAGAGAAAAAAAAATTGTGCTGTTGATTTCTGCACATTTCTCCGTCTCAAAAATGGTGCTGTACAATTTCTGGATTATGGATTTTTCGGTAAGCGCATTGATTTTTTTCAGCGCGATATACGGCGAAAGGATGCGGCGAAATGGACAATGGACGAGCGTCCCCAAGAACGAAATAGAAGATTGCCGCGAGAACTCCGCATCTCTTGAAGACGAAGGAAAAGGAGTGGAGTTGAGGCTACCGCAGTATTTGCTCTTTACTTTTACGTATTTTGCAGCCATGGGTCTAACTGTGGTCATTCTCCAATACTATCCGTCTGTGATGATCATTTTACAACATGTCGCCGTCGTTAGTTTTATTATGATCGCATTCGCTCAGTGGTTACCATTGAGGACCGGTTATTTACTTGGCATTTTATTTGGTGGAATCTGGTTATTATCAGTGGAGACCCAGTTTCGATGGATCATCAACAATGTCATCATCGCGATGTTTGCCTTCTTGGCCAGCCACGTCCAGTTCAGAAACTTTGCCTTTTTGCAGATTTTTTTGTGGACTGCCCTTGTCTACGACGTTTGCCTGCTCGCACGCATGAACGAAACTCCACAGTTCCTGAGCATCGGAGAATGTGGCAATCTTCTCTGCCAGTTATTCGAAATGAACAGCGCGTGGGAGCTTCCCTCAGTGTTCACAGTGCGATTTGGAGAGAATCAAACACACGTTTTTCTTGGAACAGGAGATATAATTATTGGTGCTATTGTCGCAAACTTTGCCATGTCCTTTTTCAAGTCCTCCAGATGTCTCATTGGAGTGGTAGGAAGTTATTCAACAGCGATCGGCTTTCTAAGTCGAGTGGATACCAACAAGCCATACCCGGCTCTCATCTCCATCGTCCCTGTATGCTCACTTTCTTTGGTGTGTTGCGCCATTGTGTGTAGGAAAACAAAACGGCTGTTTTCCTTGTCGAACAAAGAAAGCTCTGAATTTTCCTCTGACGACGTTCTGTTGATTTAGAATGAAACTTTTTACGGTGGAAAGTAGAATTGATGTTTCTGTTATTGTTACAGCTGAGTTCCATTTACCGTACGCGTATCTCGATTACCCGGCCGTGACGAAAATGGATCATGGTACAAGATTAGGCACTGTGAAGCTCCAACACAAGTACAAATCTGTTCTAAGCGACACTCAATTGGTCTTATATCATTTTTGTAGTTTCATGTTCATTGCAAAATTTATTTATGTAATTATTTATTTATTACAATTAAATGACAATAAATTAAATTCCATTAACCGAACAAAACAATCTAATCCAACATAATGATTAACTTAATAATTCAAAGAAGATAATGTTATAATACCCTGAGGATGGCATGGCCTGTAAGAAAGTTGAGGACCCCAAACCGAGACGGATTACCAAGTTAAAAATAAATACAAGTAATGATAAAAGGGCTGAGTGGAATCTAACTCGGTCTATAATTATCCGGGTGATAAAAAAATCGGACGACCGCGTATAAGGTAAGGTTCTAGAGAAACTGTGGTCCCGCGCTGGTGGGAGTATTACTAGATAATTTGATTTTGAACGTTAGCCCTTCATCAGAGCAATTTTAGCTAACGATAAGGCACTAAAGACGTTTGAGAAACTTCCCGAGTGTCTTAGCGGCGTTTCAAAAAACACATGTGTGGGCAAAACGTCAGATTTAGAGTCATTTTTAACTTCAGTGCTGGAACATTTTCTTCCAATTTCGATTTGACCAATCCATTGCTGCTGGACAAGGTAACTCGTCATTTTATTTCGTTCAGTTTCATTATGCTTCATAAGATTTTTTGTGTATTTTGGTGATAAGCTCACTCGCATCGGATCGTTTTTCTTATCGAATCTTTATATGGAATTGCTTCCTAGTTTTACGCTTCTTTTGTATCCTGCTGAGGATTAAAGAAAATTAAGAAGTTGTAATCCTTCCAGCTATCTATTAGTGAATTGTTTTTTAAGCCAAATTTGGATCCCCAAAGTCGCCGGTGACAGCGATGTTGCTTAGGCAAGCTATGGCTCGCGCATCTCAAATGTGTCGGTGTTAATTTTTCAAAGTCGATTTTCGTAATACGTCTTTGAATTCATGTTCTCCATCCTTCTAATATTTCTCCTGAGCTGTTGTTTTTGTTCTTCCTCCTTCTGTTCATCTGCCTTAGCAACTTCTATACCGCAAATAAAACAAGCCCCTTTTTTAATGAAAATACGTTCAATAATTAAAAAAAATTCTTTTCAGTTCGCTTCAGTAAAGTTTTAACGAATGGGAAAAACCAATATGGCCAACCTTTGAGATGGTTCAGGTGGTGTGCGGACTATGCGGTGACCGTAGTGCATATTTTTCACTCACTTCCAACACTGCAGTCCTACCATGTGGTTGCGGCGTTTCGAAGAGGAAAGTTCAAGTCCAATTTTTTCCCCTAATGCCAAGATAAAACTTAGAATTCGAAGGTAAACCCTTCCACGCTAACTTGAGGCTACTGAGTTTTTGATGTGCAATTCATATTTGCGTATTTTGTTGTAAGAATGAGATGACTTTTTTCGAGGGTGCAAATCCCTGTGAATCGCACCCTATCCTCTTATTTTTTTTTTACAATACCTTGCTTCCACTTGACCAAAAAGTACACCTAATTATTAACTATAGATAGGACTTATCATTAAGTGCATCGAACCTCAGCGCAGTTCTCACTGTTTCTCCGAAAACTGTGTTTGAAGCTGACGGTTTTTTGCGTTGCGAAGTTAGGTGCTGGGATTGTTTACATGCGTGGAGTGATCGGTAATATAGCCTTACAGTATTGGCAGGAGAACTACGACAGACTTGACTAAAAAAACCGTTAACCCCCCGACTTAACATAAGCAGCAATGAGCAAAAGAAGGCGTTTTGGTAGTACAAGGAAAAATAGCCCAAAAAGATCCCGGAAAAAAAGCCCAAACGAACCAGTGGAAAGCAACGTCGATAAAAGACCTACTCGAAGCCGAAGGATGGTCAAGAGAAGAAACGTCAGCGTTGGTCGAATATGTGGCCCTGCATTGGGAAGGGTCACACTCCAGTGGCTAGCCAATTTTTCCATCAAAGTTTCAAGGAGGCTTATGTTAAGCCACTTCGAAAGTCCTTTTTTTTTTTTTTTTTTAATTTCTACGCCTATTCTCTTTCCCCCTCTTTTTTCAATGCTTTACTTTTTACCCAAAGCTCATATCGCTTTCTAAGATTAAAGTTTAGGAGACTGCCATGATTTAGTGAATATATTGATAATGAGAAGAATCGAAGCGCAAAATTGCCGCACCTTAGCTGACTGGATAAGTTCAAAATCAAGATTTAGTCAGAAAAAAACAAAACAAATAGGAAAACAAAAGAATAAGTAGGATCAGATACACGCTTTACGTGTCTTACTTGTCTTTTGTTGAAAAAAGTCCTACCCAGTCCCCTCATCTCACACTACTTCGATCTCAACTATTCGTCGGACCTGGTAACCAAGTTGGTAACTAAAATGGCGTCGGCGCGGTTTCCATGAACTTTTCAGTTTGTTTACCGTAATTTGTCACCTCAAAAACCATATCTGAAATTGCCTTTGGGATCAGATCTCCTGGTGTTCATCTCTAGAAATGTATCAAGCGGTAGTGAGTTTGTTTGTTGAGCAACAATGGCGAATTTTTCTCCGACGTTTTCGGTGAAACGTGCACAAACACTATAAACATAACGGTTGTTCGATATTGATCGACACTGAGATCAATATGGATAAATTTCATCGGAACAAGACAGCAATTCGCATAAAAATCATCAGCATGGGAAACGCTGAAACGGGAAAGGTTAGTTACGATAGTGCAAAGTAAGGTTACTTGGTTCTCGAGCAAGTGAATCTATGTAGTTTCTACTTTCAAATGTTTACCAATAAGACTCATATGGCAAACGGGGGTAACGATTTATGAAACACAGCACAGAGATCGAGTTTAACATCGTATGATTTTTGTCTCGAGTTTCCGACTTTGTTCGTGTACATGTACAAAAACATGAGTTGACTTTTACGTTAGTAGAATTGATTGGAAGTTAATTTACAGTTCAAATTATTTGAAATTAAAATGTTACAAGTAACTGCACGTTTGATCGTTTGTTTCACGATGAAAAAGTCGAGCTAATCTAATCAAATGATTCAAATTGATTAACCAGACTTTTACATCGCGAGACAAACGATTAAGGCGTTCATCTTTAACTCTAAATAAAATAAGAGTTAATTGTTTTCCACACCACCATTATTACCATTGTTAAAAAATAAGAGTGCTAATTAAGTTTACTTTGCAATCTTCAATTTTAATTAACTGAAAAATGCAGGTATTTACTCTGACAGCTTAGATCTCACCTACAATTTCTATTTTACTGTCATGGACATGGGATTAAAATAAACTTTTGTGTTCAAGACGTATTTCCTTTTTAAGTATTTGGGTTGAATGGTTTAATCTTAATTATTTACAAGACATTCTTTTGGCTCTCAGGGTATTCAGCAGTAGTTGTAACTGCCAGTGAAAATCACCATCATCAACATTGTGTACTCCATCTTATTTGTTTGGTTCCCCATGAAGTAATTCCCTTTAATCCCTCTTGTGGCAATGTTACAAATTCTTTTGAAAAAAAGCTTGTTGATGAGAATGACTTTCTGTCAACCCTGGGATTAACTCAGATGAGTCTGAAGTGCAAAAATTTGAGGAACACAAATGTATTTTAGATCACTATTTGTCTCAACATAGCATATCCAAAATGATACACATGGTTTCTGGTCCTGGGTATATCTACTTAACTGTAGACATCAAAGCCCTAATGTATGCTTTTTTTTTAAGTCACCATGCATGCAGTTAGCATTTAAAGATGGATTGATTACTAGGCAAGAATCAAAGATATTTTGTGCAATAATACTGTACATGTCACACTGAACCACTGACCACTGTGCTTGTTTTTGGAGTAATTAGTTTGGCTAGCTTTCACTTTTAGAGTTTTTCTCTATGGTTTAATGCTTAATACTTGGGAAACCGAGGAAAAAGTCAGGAAATTGTTTTTGAAGAAAATGTCTGAACTTGAGTGATATTTATGAATTGAAAATGCTTTTCTCACTTTTATGTCACCTAAAAAAAAGTTTTATAAAGCTACATTTTGCTCAATCACAGCAAAAGACAGATCTCCAAATTGGCAACTTCCATTACACATTATGTTTAGGGCTCAACACTAACGGTAGCCAACTAGCCACAGACTAGTAGAAATTCAGTTTTGGCCAATAGTTTTTGATTTCCACTGGCTAGTTTGGCTAGTAAACAAACTGAAATTGTTGTGACATCTAAGGTGTCACTAGCCACTTGGCTAGTAATTCAAAAAGTTAGTGTCAAGTCCCGATGTTACTGAAGTTATTTTCTGCACAAACTAAACATCTAGAGAGAAGGAAAAAAAGGTACAATGAGAACTGTGTACCTGATAATGATTTGTAATGTCATCTACTTGTTAGAGTTGTATCATCAAGAGGTATTGTGAGAAACGGTTTGTGAGCAAGTACATGACTACAATAGGAATTGACTATGGTGTGACAAAGTAAGTATACCTCATTGGCATTGATTATGTTATTTTAAATGAGGGGCAGTTGTAGATTTACCCAGCTAATAGTCATTTTTAGGGTGATTTATAGGTAGATCTATTATATGGGGGAAGGTTGTAAGGCTACTATAGTTGCTGGTGGGTTTCTTGAATAAACAAATTTGTTTGCCCTAATATTAATTGAGTGTTCTTTAGCAAAGGATTCCTTGGTGGTGACAGTCCTTATATTAATAGAATTTGTACAGTAGAGTATTTTTGATTTTTGCATTATCCTTGCATGGCACATAGAATTCAGGTCCTGGTTGTTGTAAGGGTGCACAATGCTATCCACTGGGTGGATAGCATAGTTTTGGTAACATTTGCCAGCTGGATAGCGATTTATCCTTTGGATAGCATTATCCACTGTTTGAACGACGGGGCCCCAGGCTTTTTCTCATGTCATATGGCAAACTTGCTTTTTTGCATGAGTCACTGTCAGACTGCACATTGAGAATGTCATATTGCACATTGTTTGAAATAAGACCCAGTAAAAGTTACTGACTGTGTGGTCTATCAGCCTTGATTTAAAATACCTATCAAATATGTGCATATCTGCAAGACATTGTGACATGCTTAGTGTTCCCTTCATCATAACATGTGTGCTTTTGCATTCATGTTACTACCTGTTTTCCTGAAAGGGTTCTCATTTTCAATTTCAAGGTAGACATACAACAACCACTAAGCTCCTTTTTAAAGCCACTCCTGTGCGTACTCCAGGGGCTAGTAAAAAGAAATGTATGAACATTTTTTATTCTGATCTAAGGGTTTCTGTAACCAATCATGCTGCCCGAGGAGAATGCTATAGCTAGTAGGAATTACACTTTTTGTGGCAATTCTCTTAAAATCCCGTTATTATCACGTTCCAAATTCTTTCCACGTAGGGTATCAATAAATGACAAGGAGGTAAAAGTTAACATATTTGACATGGCTGGTCACCCTGTGTTTTATGAGGTAGGCTATTTCTATTTTTGAAGGCATCTAACTTGTATGGACTAGGGAAAAAATTGATTGGAAAATATGGAAACTTTTTACCCCTTGTTCCATCTCTTAAAAATTTTACAGAGCTTCTGAGTAACATCATCATCATAACAGCAACTGATGCCACTATTGTTGTTTGATTGTCTTGTTAACTCCTAACATTTATAATATATTTTAGGTTCGTAATGAATTCTACAAGGATACACAGGGTGCCATGCTTGTTTATGACGTTGGTAACAGGGACAGTTTTGATGCATTGGACAGCTGGGTGGATGAAATTAAAAAAGATATTGGTAATGCAGCTGACTTTGAAGGGATAACATTTGCTCTTTGTGCCAACAAGGTGAGGCAGAAACTTGAGTACCTAATGTTGATGGGTCATCACAACTTGAGCTGAGCCCACCTTTAACCCTTTCAGTCCATTAGATCTTCTTAGCAATTCTCCCTATGGTCTGTCATACAATTCTTTGTATATGTTGGTCTGCACGATTTAAAATCAGATCAACTAATAATCCTGTAATTGATATATTTCTAAATATTCTCTTCATCTGTCTGCTTGATATTGTTAGCATTCTTGATAATTTGCATGGAGAAATATTGTCTTGGTGGCTCATGGGATTTAAAGGGTTAAGTATGCAGACAATACTAGTGTGATCCACTGAGAGACTGATAAGTTTAAAAGGGTATACTGTCCTTGTAGATCGATAGCAAGAAGAGAGTTGTGGATGAAACTGAAGGCCAGCTGTGGGCCAATGGTCATGGATTTCAGTACTTTGAGACGTCTGCCCAGACTGGTGAGGGAGTCAATGATATGTTTCAGGTATGAAATATCAGGCAACAATTATGTTTACTAAGACTTGCATTTTACAAAACTGTTTCTCGCAAAACATACTAGCCATTCTGCAAACTTCGTTCGTTTTGGTTTCAAACAACGTTTGTAGAGTTCTTTAGAGGTTTCTATATACGCCAGTGTCCAATAGTTAAGCGCTCCTCCGAAACACTAAGTGGCAACTTAATTCGTCTTTGCCTCTCTGCTTGAAACTACAGCTGAGGTTTAGAGAAATGATCTCCTCTTCGGTTTCCAAAATGTGTGCCTGCGCCTTTCACGCTGTTATCATCGACTAGAAACCAAAAAAAAAAAAATATATCGCCGCCATGCACTTTCGGACTTGCAGCCCACAGCATAGTAATTCCATTGTTGATCATTGAAGTCGACACTTCCCATGTTTTGGTTGTATGACTTGAACGCACGGTCAGTGGGAAATTGAACAACGGTTACATCGTGTTTTCTGTTGACCGATTGGCCGTCAACGGGATGGGACCGAGGGTGAGCTCAGAAAGCAAACTATTTTTTTTTTGTCAACAAGCTGATGCAACGAGGTTGCCACGGAGATAAAAGTTCCATTCACTTTCAGTTTCGTAAGGGGTTCACATCAGCGGTTTGCGGCGACAAATCATTCGGGAAGCCTGGGCGATTTTGTTCCCGGGGGTAACATGTGAAAGTGTTGTGTTCTCGTCCGGCTGAGAGTAGTCCTGAGAAGGACTGCTGTCGCTGGTGGTGACAGTCTCCACCACTACACTTTCAGAAATATATGTTTCGTCTTTCAGTAAATCACAAGCAAGTTTGAGAGATGTAAAAAACTGAATGTCACAGAAAATGTGGTGATGCTTTCCCGTTAAATGCTGGCTAAGCTCTGCTCTATGACTCCGCCCTCTTGTCGTGCCAGGCAAACTTGTAAATTACATACGTAACAATTCAGTGCATTCCCGAACTTTTATCCATCTCTTAATTAGCTTCAACGGAACATACTGTTTCATATTAAGCTGTCTTTTGAAGGCAATCATTGCTTCATCGTCAGAGAGATTCAGTTGAAATATTTAGTTCTCGGCTTGCTAGAGAATGCACCTATATGTGGGTTACCCCAAAATTTGTGAATAGCTTGAGGAAAATTGATGCTCATGGAATATAAACCTTGGTTCTACTAATTAAACAATAAAGTGTTTCTGTCGAGGAACTATCGGTCAGATAGTTGCCCCGCGGAAATTTGATGTTCTTAAAACAAATATTTGCCCGAGAAGCGAAGCTTGGAGGACAAATACGCTAGTTTCACAAACATCAAATTTCCAAGGGGCAACTATCAGACCGATAGTTCCGAGACACAAACACTCTATTGTTCACCACTAAATTTTCTTCCGCGCCTATAGCTTGTCACAAATGTCAATAATTCGCAACCGTACATAGGCTAAATAATACGTTATACCTGTCAGAATTGAAAAGTCACTGTTTTTCCGATCTGCCTAACTTCGCGGCCGTCAAACTATTCAAAACTTTTCACGGATGAGTACTATCAATCCAGGTATTTTCCGCGGACGGGCACTATCCATCCGGGTATTTCCCGCGGGCGGGCACTATGGGCTGATAGTGTCTCTCCACGGATGAACACTATCGCGTCACGTGATCGATTTAAACCAATAAGAACCGGAGAAAATTTAGTGCTGAACTATAATCTTTATTAAAGTCTGCAGTGCTTTCTGTTTATTTGTGCTTTGATCATTTTATACATGAGCTGAACAGACCCGAGTATGCCTTAACTCTACAAGACAGTCGAACCTTTTGCAGAAGCCATCAGCTAAAATCTCTTGTCAACTTAACTCTGATTCTTACTCATTGAATTCCTTTCGTTAAACTTGATCGCATGTACGTAGGTTTATGCAATAAGTGAAGAACACAAGAGCTGTAGTCACCGTTTTTTCATTTTTACATTCACTTACTCTGTAGTAACTGTTTCCATAACTGTATGAGTTCCTGAAATTTTCATCAGTTTTGAATAATTAACTCTAGCAATACCTCTTATTTTTCCAGACCGTATTCAAGTCAGTATTGGCAACAATAGAAAATGGTGGTAAACCAGTTCAGGTCAATGCCTCAACAACTCTGGGTTACACCAAAGAACAGGCAGAGGCTATTCACAGGTTGAAATCAGCCAAAGATAACTACGAGAGACTGGGACTGACAGCCGGAGCGACCAGGTAAAATATGTGACATCAATTAGTGTTAAAATAAATGCATTTTGCTGTTGTGATCACTATAAGAGGAAAGAAGAAAAAATATATGACATAACAGAGTTGTTGTCACGGAAAAATCAACAAATTGAAAACTAAAACCAAAATGAAATGACTAAATCATTAGACTTGGAACGTACATGCAGTGCTCGATTGTTCGATAGTTATTTGTATAAACCCTCTATACAGCATTCATCTGATCTATTTCTTTTCTTCGTCTTCCTGAACAACTCTTGCTATGGGAAGCTTGAATTTCTCAATTTTAACTCATGTCTCCAATATTTTCTAAACCACACGCTCTGGCGGAGAGAGCACTAAATGTCCTATTTGTCATATTACCCTTCTTCAATGAAGTTCACATTGTAAACTAGATGTATTGATTCAATTTACTTACCCTATTTTCGTCTGTATCATTGTTTCAGGGAGGAAATTAACCGAGCCTATCGAAGGTTGGCCATCTTAATACACCCAGACAAAAGTTTGGCTCCAGGAACCGAGGAGGCCTTCAAAGCGTTGGTGAATGCCCGTGCAGCTCTGGTACAGTCTCACAGATAGTACTGAACAGGAAATTAGCCACGTTATCGATGATGTCACTGACATTTTCAACGTCTTCGCTGATGAAACTTGCACTTCTTATTTGTGCACTTTGATGTTACCATTCTATTCTTCTAAACACTTTCACTCCCAAGATCTCATTCGTAATTCTCCTTACTGTTTGCCACCCAATTCTTACGATCTTAATTGGGAGAATAAGGTATTGGATCAACTGATGATCCTCCAATTAATATTTTTCTTTATTCTCGTCACCTGTCTGATATTGTATTGATATTTTCAGGAGAAATTCTGTCTTAGTCATTCATAGGAGTTTAAGGGTTAAAGCCCCTCAAATCAAGTATCGTAAGCGCTTAAAAGCAAAGATGGACTGTATAGTGATAAGAGGCTGATAACAAAGCTCTATTAGGAATTGAAAAATACTGCCGAGGCAACAGAAGCCCATTAAGCGATGGGTTCCTGCCCGACAATGACCTCTTAAGACTTTTAGTAGCCCTTTCATTCAAGATCTCTTTGTTCGTATCTTTTTCTCGGCGTTAGGCATGAATTCAATAACATTTCGACTATTCCCGGAAGATGAAGACAACTGAACTGATCATATAAAGGACAGGAGTAACTAAGTCAAACAAGAAATCGTGTTTTAATCCATGTAAATATTATTGTGAATAACAGTTAAAGAAACTGACCTGTTTATGTGGTCTTAATTTTTCTTTTCTGTCATCTGATTTTTTAGGCAAAGATAAATTTTCAAATAAATTAGACATTTACTTCAAGCCCCCGAAAGAAAATTACAGAAAATTTGAAGGGAATGTTTTCGGCTTACTCTCAAATACAGCAAACTTAATAGGTGCTGGTGAAGTATCAGTGGCCGACGGGTGAGCGCAGCGACTCGGAGAGATTTCTGATGTTAAACAGCCCCTGCAAAAATGCCAGACGGGCAGATGTCACGGATTTTTATGGTTATCACAAACAGTACTGAATTTTGCTTATTTTTAACCGTTTTATTCCTGAGTGTGTCTCGTGGCTTTTTTGATTTTCAGTGAGAAATAAAATTTTGCGAGTTTACCCTTAAGTCACCTACTGGCCACAAAACTATCAATAAAAAGCTGCAAAAATGACTAAGATGTGTTTCGAGAAAAAAGATGAGCAAAATAGCCAAATTCTAATCATTAAAAATTAGTTATTTATGCGAAAGCATAAAAGAGTCCTTTTCGTATCACAAGCTTTCCACTTAACGTGGTAAGACTGATTAACGTTTTATGCATCTCCGAAATGGCCTACGAAATTCACGAAAAATTATGGTATGAATTATGTTTTAGACGATATTAGTTGATTTCTTCAAAAATTTAGTCCGTATAACTGGCTTTGGCTTGGATCGCTCGCGAGAGGTAAACTCGAAGTTCATCATCTGTATATCATAATTATATTTGTCACAAAGCACAATAGCAGCTGCAAGCTTTCAAACTTGTCTCTTCTGGTTAATAGGTATGTCATAACTTACTGAAACGGCAGTAAACACACGACATTCGGAGACTAGCTAAATTTGTCCTTTCTCAAAGAACGACAAATTAAAGCATTGTTCATCCCTTTTTACGAGTGAATGCGTAGCATTCATGAGTATTGGAGGATCGTGGGAAAAAAGCGCTTGGTCGCTTCCTGTAAACTTTTTTCTTTGTTGAGCCGCTGACCAGGAAAACCAAACCTTGGAGTATCGCGGGCTCAAATTTGTGTACATCATGCGAGTGCCGAAGTCGTGTGAGAAGTGAAAGTGTGTCGACTTCCTTGAGAAATGGCTTTTATCTTTGGCAATAGCTTTTATTCTTCGCTCTTCTTGGATGTAACGACGCTCGACCGGTTTGAATTCGTAATGTATTCTGTTGGCGTAAGTGAACCACCCGGCCCGCAGAATATAGCAAGGTGCATTCCACTCAAAGGTCACGGCGAAGGTTTGCGAAATGTACGCCAAGATTTTGAAAGGATTATATGGAAAAAGTCAAAGATCCACACCGAAGATCTTCGGCGTAAATGGTTGAGAATGTAGCCTGGCGAATACACTGGCATCGTTTGTTTTGAAGTAAGAGTCTTTCATGGTTCGTTCTTCGTAACCTACAGAACACAACAGGTAAGTCTTCATAATTAATGTACCTATTTAATCTCGTTGTTTGGGTTTGCTGCTTTGCATGGGGCTAAGCTCACCGCAGCTTGCAGTTGATTATAAGTATGAGTATATAAAATAAGGCTTAAAAAACGGTGTGAGCTTTAGATCGATTGTTCCGTTGTCTTCGGGAAGTACTCGTAAAGGTCACTTGATACAAAATGTTTAATCGAAGAAAGAGGATATACACAGTTGATGAACCAGTATACTACAGACTACCATACTCTGATAGATCACATTTATACAAATATACCACATCTTGTAAAATCTGAGTCATACTACAGTGAGTCATACACTTGAGTCATACACTTGAGTCAAGTCATACACTTGAGTCATACTACAGTGATCATAAGCCAATTTATATGTCCTTCACAGCTTTTTGAAGAATGTTACTATTGGTAACCTTGATAAAGTACTTAGTCTTAGAAAAATTTTCAAGTCCATACATAGACTTTTATAGCCAGCAACATTCTAAAATTTTAGTTGAAAAATTATTTTAACTTACTATTACTTAGTTTTTGAACTGTGTTAAACTGTGTTAATGATGTCAACAAAGAAAAAATAGCCTTCAGACATTCATTTTGACCAAGTATAGTTATTACTTTTTTTTTTTCATAATTTCTGCCCCTTCATGGCAGACAGCCTTCTCTATGCAATGTTAAGTGTAAATTTTAAAATATTATTCAGTCATTTAAAAGTGGATATCTTTTTTCTATAATTTTCAGGGGTTTTTTTTTGTATCTACATGATATATCTACAGCACATGTACCTCTCTTGGTGCCATTGATTAATTCTGGTATGTGGATTCACGCAAAACGGAACTGTATGCACTATAGCAGATGGATAACCAAGGGTACCAAATACCATGCACATCTGATAAACATTCCGGTCTGCAAGACCAGCTGTTCTTTGCTACCTAATATGGTTACAAAGTCTACTTTGACAAGGCTGTTTGATACAGTATGTATTTCACCAACCTACCACCACAGCTGTCAATAATAACCATTGTAAAAGCTTCACAAGTTGATGTATGACACCTATAGCTGGTAACTCTACATTGTAAACCATGCATCTAATCTGTTATATTCCCAACAAGGAGTACATTTTGATGACATACCTGTATAGAAGGGCGTGTATTAAATACAGTGAGGTTTTGTTCAAATCTGTAACACTGACACTTGGACACAAACAAATTTGAATACCTGAAACACCAACATCTTGCAATGACTAAACTTAACATGAGCCATATTGTACATATTTTTTTACCTTAATTATAAGCTGTACTGATGGTGAACTAGCATACTTTATCCTTCCACAATATGATTCTTTTTATGGCCAATACATCACTGAGGGTATTGAAGAGTTTTATCAAATACAAAACAGTATAGCTTGGCACAGTGTACAGTATCTGGTGGTCACACAAAATCTACACTCTTGTATGTCACAAGCCTACATTTTTTCATCAGTTAGTCATTTAGGACAGATATATACATGCATAAACAAAGACAAAGACTCTGTGAATGAGCATTAAAGGTTTAGATGCAAAATACTCTATAATTATGTATTTATACAACTTGCATAATCCTTTGAAAAATTATTACTGATACTCTGTTGTAACATTGACTTTACAAAGCCAAACATTTTAATGTACATTTTTTTCATTCATTAGTAAACTTCAGGGTTATAAAAAATTAAAAATTGAATGTGTTCTAATTACAAGTATAACAATCAATGTCTATTGAACAATGAATGAAACATTCAAACATTGTGTTAACTCAGTATTTGAGCTGTACATCAATTTGCTTGTTTCCAGAAGATACCCTTCTCACACCCTCCCCCCCTTATTACCCATGGAAGATCATTGTAAATTGTGATGAAGAGGGGGTTCTCAAAACCCTGATAGGAAAGTTTCAAGCTGACCTAAGATTTGTTGGGGAGAAGGTCGGTTCAAACCAGAAAAAACTCCTATTGGAGGAGCATGAATATTTTTGGAACAACTCATAAATTATCATAATTTATCCAACTCAGTCTTTTAATTATCTAGTCAGGTTGCATTAACCCGGTTGCTTCCCAAGAGGAATGGGAGAAATTGAATCACAGTGTAGTGTGTGACAGGGGAGAAACTGACTGTTTGCAACAGATTTGACCATATCCACATTGAATGCAAACAAAAGTTACTTGTCGAAATATTTGGTACTTAATTTTTTTTAATTACATGTTTTTGCTGTCTTTTTCAATGAGGTCTCTTGTTATCGATATGAAATGTTCATTTACTGTTAAAACACACCCACACTGTAATAATTATCAACCAGTTTCCTTCCTAGCAGAGAAAAATGAAAGTCCCATTTCGGCTTTTTAAAGCGTAAAGAAAAACGAAAATAAAACTCAAATTTCATTTTCCTACGCAATCACTGTTAATCGAGGAGACTCGAAAATCGGTTGGCACTAAGGAACTCAGAAAATGAAGAACTGATACACAATACAGCAAAAATCTGTGGATGGGTAATGCCCTATACACATTTAAAACACCTCATCCTCCTAGTTTCTTCCAAAAAATGACCGTCTTAGTAGAAAAATCAATCCCGGGGGTAGCACTCATAGCTATATGAAACAAACGGGGATACCCGTCCTCTCACTTAGGGGTGTAGATTTCAGATTTTGGTCTCGCGTAGGGATTTCAGGAAAAAGCGCCAACATTTTCAGAGTTTAAGGTTTCGTTTACGGGGTTGCACGCGAAGAAACATGGATAAAAAAATCATTTTTCCCGTTAGTCCCTCTCCCGGAAAGGTAGCACTTGTACAACACGCCATGTGATTAGCCTGTATGACTTCTTATAGCGATTAACTGCGCTTAATTCAAGTAAAAACAGCCTACTAAACTGAACGATGAAATGGACACCTCTCTTGAAGTCCTTCTGAAGGGAGATAGGGAGGATTCCGTCGAAAGCCCTTCAGCCTTCAGAAAAATGTTTGCCCTGCACCGAAGCATAACTAAAAGAGGCCCGAAATCAAATGTTCGGATGTTTAAGTNGTGTCGAAGGCTTTCTTCAGATCAATAAAAACTACACCATTTACTAAACCTTTATCCATATTACTTAGCACTTCATCGGTAAACTGCGTTAGAGCTAAAGCGGTAGATCTTGCACGTCTAAAGCCAAACTGGTTCACAGCAAGCAGATTGTTGGAGTCGAGGTAGCCGTAAAGTTGAGAATGAACAGCTCTCTCAATTACTTTACTGACCGTGGGCAGGATAGAAATGGGACGATAGTTATCTTTATCGGACTTATCACCTTCTTTGAAAAGAGCAGTCACTTTCGCACATTTCCAAGATGATGGGAATTGACCCTTCTCAAAAGAGAGGTTTATGATATCCCTCAGAGGTGAAGCAAGTACATTTGCTGCATCACGGAGTAAACGTGCACTGATGTTGTCTAGTCCTACCGCTTTATTGGTTTTCATTAGGCGCAGCTGCTTTTCAACAAAGGCTGACGTCACATACTTGAGAGAGAACGATAAGGTAGGAACTGCATCGTACTG